TGCTGTTGACAGATAAAACTTGAGTTCTTTGCTGAAGAATAGTTGACCGCGTCCGTCTTTTGTTTTTTCTTACTTCAGAGTTTTTACTAACGTTACAACAAGTTGTGGGGTTCTGAAGCTCAGAGTGAGCTGCTCCACTGTCGCCATCTTGGCAGTGCCTGACTCCGCCCCTTAACAATAAACCAAGTTAATTATTCTTATTGTTCTTATTATTATTATTTTCAAATTTTCTCATAGATATCGTAATAATATCGTTATCATGAATTCTTTTGGCCACGATAATCGTGCAGCAAACAAATGAATTGAAAATAAAAAATAACAAATCTGTACAAAAGGAAGATCAATAAATAAACGCTCAAAGAGTGAATCATCTTCTCTTCAATGGACTGGACGTTTATGTTGACAATATCTTGTGAATTTTCACTTTACACAATACTTTTCTATACCTGCAGCCAGACTGGGTTATGCTCTTTGTACTGAAAGCCATACTTGTCCTTCAGTTAGTTGACCTTCTTCTTTGCTTTGTCGTCTTCTCTACATCACACTGTTGATTATAAATGTCGGGTTGAAGAATAAACCGTGCTGCTACAGGGTGTCTACAGAATTCTGCAAGATTTTATTCACTGCAGCAGTGAAAGCTTTTTATATGATGTGATTTGTTTTAGTCTCTAAGCTCTGAAGAAGCCGCGCTGGTGCCAAAACGTCAGCTTATGGAAGAAAAGTCTGTGCTGCAACTGTCAAATGTGCTCCTGCCTCTTTGCAAGTTTTCATGCTTGTTCACTGCCTACAATCATTAAGTCCCTTTCTTGCTGACTGGCAACCAGTGCTTTCAGATTAATGTTGAGGCCTGTTAGTAGCTGGTGCAGCTGTAATTAAATCCCCTACAAGAAATGATTTTATCAGTTTCACCTATGCTGTGACATTAGCGAGCGATTAGCCTTGTAAACAGAGCTTCTACTGTCCTGACAAGCAACACACTGAACTTCATCAGAATCCACGACCCGAGTGAAGTCGCCTGAACATCACAGTAATGTGATCGTTGAAGTTTTTATACTGAACTGAACAAATGGCAAAGTTATTCAAAGTATCATGTTTGTAGTTTCAACTAACGCCTATTTTCATCACCGATTCATCGTCAGTGTCGGAGCCACATTCAAGATATTCAGTTGGTTAACTAAGGCTCTGAGCCTCTCTTCTGATTGGCTGACTGTTTTCTGAGTGATCCAATAAAAATATAGCAGATTTTAGGTAAAAACACTCAGAGAAACCAAATCCTGCAAGGTTTGGATGGTGGGTCCAGGTGGGCGGGGCTTGGTGACTGCTTTGTTGTGACATCACAAAGTTCCAGAAGTCCTGACGGCTGGTTTTAAGGCTCAGTTTCTGAATACAGGCTGTGTGCATTTCTCTGTGGACTGAGGCTTTGATACTTTCACAGTATTAATATAGAAGCTAGAGCTGATCTATAATCACACTACACATGGACACAGACCTTTACACTGGAGGAGCTTTAATTCTTTAACATTGAGTGAGTCTGACACTAACTGCCTCTCCTATACATTAGCTGAGTATTGATGCATCTGTTTTTATCCTGACGTGATGACATGTGTCATGTGAGTAGGTCAGTGGAGTCGCTGCAGCAGAGACTGGAACTGAACTGGTTTTAATGGGAGACAACAGCAGCGTCAACATTAAACTCGCCTTTATATAATTTGCATAGAGATTAATACTGAGCTTAAACAGTGATACTGTGTGTGTGTGCGTGTATGTGCGTGTGTGAGCACTAATTAATCCCCCCCCCCCCAGCATTTAAGCGTTTAAGCCCAGCCTGGGGTTTATGGTAACTCTGGATATTAAGCAAATCTCACAGTGGAGGGAGAGAGAGAATGTGTGTGTTTGTGAGTGTGTGTGTGTGTTAGCATTAGCTGCACCACTGCATCAAGTCAATCCTTAAGCTAACAGGAAGCTTTGCACACAAAAACACACACACACACCTCAGCAGTGTGTAATCTGGACAGTAGACGTCCCTGAACACCTACGCTGTGTGAATCTGACATTTTGAAGCTTCCTTCAGAATAAAATTATTTTTTCCTTCTGAATAAAATTATCTTTTTTTTTTTTCCTCTAAATAATCAGCTGTGTTTTTACTATGTGTCTGTTTGCTTGGCTGGTTAGTCATCACATTAACATATTCATGAACCCAGACTGGCACCTTTAAAGGGTGTTAGTCATATATACATGTTTTTTCTCGCTACGTGTCTGAATTTTACAAATCATCTAATATTCAGCTGAGGAAACGGACACAGTCATATTTATTTATTTCACACACGCCTCATTGCTCCAACAGCTCCACCAATCATTTGCAGTGCACGTGTTCACATGCAACAACCCAGTTCACACTAATTGTATGATCCATGTTTCGACCTTTAAGAAATAAAGTTTGCTCACAAAGTGGACAGTGGGCCGCTCTCCGTCAGCTGCTGCATTAAACAGGTTGTCGTATTGTGATCGAGCTCTGCCGGTTCATCAGCTGTTGTATTGATCCGGTATTGATCCCAACAGCAGCAGCTACCAGTGAATATGGAAGCACCGATGGCAAGTCTCAGCTCAACATGTGTTTAAAGTGTCATGTCTTAATGTTCAAGCCACACATTACATTAGTTAACTAACTAGTAAACATTAGTTCACATCGACAACAGCTGCTGCCAGAACATTATATATGTGTCAGACTCTAGAAGATTCACTAATGTGAATCTGTGGAAGCCCATGAAGAAATCTGTGATGCAAAATGATATGCTAATGGTAGCAAAGGAAACATGGAGTCAATTAAATGAGCTATCACTGTCTCTGTTTATGTATCATAAACAGCATGCCTGGGTTCATCTTCAAGTTCTCCCCAGTTGTTTTTGTCCAGCAGCATCAGAGTCGGTGTTAAATGAAGCGTCAGAGGGCGAAAATAATCACATCGTGTTCAGCAGCAGATCACAACCTCATCTTGGTCAAGCTGTTGCACAAATTTGTTGTTTTAAAAGAGTCAAACACAAGAGCCTGACGTCATGTAGGAATGTACATTCAAAAGAATCCAAACTTTCCGTTTCACAATAAAAGTCCAAAAAATGCATACACAGATTTTAATTTCCTAGCTGTGACAATGAACTGCAGACTTCTCTTTATATTATCATTTAAATTCCATCTAGTTTCTTCTTGTTTTTTGTTGTTATCAGTCGTGACCTCTCTCCTCTGTGCAGTTGACTCTCCGAACGGTACAAACTGCAGCCACTGTCCTGTTCTGTCCATCGATCCATCAGCGTCATCGCTCTCTGACTCTACAGTTTGACGACATCAGTTTGGACGAAGGTTTTTTAGAGCATCTTATGAGCTACAGTAACACAACTCATTATCAAATCTGGAGGAACCCTTTAATTTAGTGTTGAAACTTTGGTCAGTCAGTCGTCAGATAATTAGTGTTGATTATGGTCTCCAGTTAAAACTCCAGGTGTTTTCTGGTTCCAAGTTTGTGATTTGTTTTGTTTTCACCGATTCGTTTATTTGGAAAATGAAACTCTTCGTCGTGAACTTTTGGGTCTGAACTAAACACGGACATCTGGCTTCCTTTTGAAAATATTCTTATACAGTGTTATACAATTAATCTGTTAATGTCACTAACACATCACATGCCAGTTAAAGAATTAAAAGTACTTGCATTAGGTCCAGTTCTCTAAATATTACACAGTAGAATGATACTTGAGCGTTAGGTTAATAATTTCTTCAGTAGTATTCCGTTTAATTAATTTTTTAATGAGTAAACGTCATTATTTTTGTTGATGATATTGTCATTTATTTCACTGATTATTTTATTGTATCTCATTTTCAGCTTTCTTACTTAGTTTTTGTCCTTTTCATTTTAGCTCATCAGTCTGTGGAGCATTTTGAACTGCACTACCTTGTATGAAAAGTGCTGTACAAATAAAGTTTGATTGATTCATTCATCATGGATTTAAAACTGAAACTATTACAGACTTATAGAGGAGTTCCAACATGGCAATAATTCAGTATTCGGATTTATGGTGTCTTCATATTATGGTATGGCAGCCACTGTCAGCTGTGTCGTGTTTTTCATGTCTTAGAGTTCTGATTTTTATGAAAGTTATTGCTAATGCTAACTCAACCTTTGCCACTACTGCTGAGGATTCAACTGAAATTAAATGATGTGAAACATCCTGTGGCTTTTATTGTGGAAAAGCCACAGGAACACAATATAGAATGTAACCAGAAACTAGTGAACACCCATTTAACACAGAGACATTAGTGTGTGTTCAATGAAAGTTCAGTTAAACTTCAAAATAAAAGCTTCAGTCCTTATATGGTCATAGCTTTACTCCTCCATCTGATCACGAGTGAGCATCAGCTGATTTCATTCATTAACTTTGCCTTTCTGCTATAAGTGGATGAGACATTGATAAAAATGTTCTGATGCTGTGGTAGTACACACACACACACACACACACACACACACACACACACACACACGCACACGCAGACACAAGCACATGCATGAAATAATAAATGTATCAGCACACAGTCTGTTTCCCATCAGCACCGTGGGGAAGAAATTTGATGTGGAAACAATTCTGCACCAGAGGCTTATGGGAAATTCATAAGGAGGGAGTGAGTGGTGTGTGCGTGATTTGAGACTTTGGAAACAAACACAAACAGACACACACACACACACACACACACACACACACACACACACAGTGAGCGGTGTGTGTGAGAGTTAATCAATGTCGTGGATGTGAAGCTCTGACCTTTTCTGCTCAAACCACCTGCTGCTGCAGGAAAAACGAGTGTGTTTCAGGCTGTTTGTGCTCTAGAGTGTGTGTGTTTCAGTGTGTGTGTGTGTGTATGTTCCAGTGAGTGTATGTGTGTGTGTTTCAGTGTGTGTGTGTGTATGTGTGTGTGTGTTCCAGTGAGTGTATGTGTGTGTGTTTCAGCGTGCGTACCGTCTCTCTCTCTGCAGGGTGTAGGAGCTCCTGAAGAAGCCCAGCAGCTCGTCCTCGATGGCGGCGTCAAAGCTCACGTTCAGCCGGTAAACCCTCATCGGCTTCAGCTCGCGGTGCAGCACCACCACGTACATCTGATTGGCCGGGAAGGAGAAGTGACGGTGGACGCGCATGGCTCCGCCCCCGGGTCGGTTGACAGGACGACCACCGGCGCCACCCTCTGCCGTAACGGACACCCGGTCCACCTGGAGGTAGGAAGAAGAGGAAACATATTGATGAACTGTGGAATGACCCGTCCAACCACGATCCGACGTGGATAACAGCTGCGGTTTAAAGAGGAAGGAACGCAGTCGACACGTCTGTCACACCTTAACCAGACACACACGAGTAAGACTGAGGTCAAACACAACTTTTAATGAGATGCACGAGTCGTCAGGCCGCAGAGCTCTACCCAACACGCCACAAACTACAGAAGAGAAACTGCTGCAAACACTCGTTGCTGTGGATGTTCCGTCATTTCAGGAGCCCCGCCTCCATCCCAGCATCCACCTGTTGGCTCTGACCCCAGCTGTGTAAATTCAGGGAGTAAGAGGGTTATGATCATCGTCACTCCCCCGTCTCCGCTGTGCTGATTTTAACGTGAAGAAGTTAAGGCCTCGCCGCCGGTAGAGAGCTGAACACAACGTCAGCTGCTGTCACTGTGAACAGCGCCCTCTGCTGTTTAGCTCAATCAGCGACGCACTGCTCTTCGAAAGGTACAGGTTTTAATCCATTTAAGAGCGTATACAGTTTATCAGATGAAAGCCGTTGCTAAGCAACTACGGATTCACTGCCAGCTGTTGTTTCGGGATGCTGGACCTGTCGCCATGGTGACGTGACAAGGACCACATGTACAACAAATGGGGTATTATGAGGTATGCAGGTAGCTCGTAACCACCTCTCATGTGACCACAGCGATGATGACGATGAAACAACAGTGACTGAGGAAGAGCGCTTTCACTCATTAGAGGCGCTGCAAAGCCTCACAGGTGTTTTCACTCATCCCCGCTAAGCTGCAGCTTGAAGATGGTCAAGGATTTTGTTGGTAATTAAATGAAATGTCACCAAACTCGCCGCACTACAGAAAGGCATCAAGGTGAAGGTCGTCACACAGACAGTGAGGGAGGTGTCGGTCCAGTCGGGTCTGCACGCGCCCACACAGCCCTGAGAGGAGAGGAGGTCTAATCAGGTGAAGTAGGAGGAAACACCTGTGTGGGCGGACCACGAGTGGATACTGCTGTACTGCTCATGTTCAAGTGTCCTCAGAGTGAGGTGATGATGGACTGAGGAAGCTGCTGAACGCTCGTTTGTACGTGAGCAGTGAGTGTTTGGGCGAAGAGGCGGCATCTCGTTCTGTCTCTTGTCAGGTACGCAGGAATAACTGAACCAAACGTTAAAAAACACAAAAGGGTTTAAGTGGGGAAAAAAGGAACTAATAACAATAAATTAATAACTAATGGAAACTTTGGAAACTGGTGAAACTGCAGAGAATTCAAAACCACACTGAAGGTGACAAAACTACAGTACGTCAGGATCTGAACAGGTTGACAACAGACGGACTGACGAAGACAAGTGGCATAGAGTGACCGAACACTCAAGACAGGAAGTAAAACTAACATGAGACACATGGACTTCAAAATAAAACATGAAATAAAGTCCAAAACAAATATCAAACGTAATCAAACATAAAGTCCATCAGGGAAAACCGTGGCATCTCCACTCTTTGGGCTCAGTTCAAACAGCATTTCGAGCACCAAAGGTTTGGACCAGAATCTGCTCATATCAGTGGATTTGTTGGTTCTCTTGTTAAGGCGAATCGCAGCCAAGTACCGAGCTCAAATTCGATCTCTGACATGCAAAGTTGTTTCGCTGACCAACTGCAAACCATCGTGACAGTGCTGACTTTTGAGGGAGTGGAGAAAGAATAGAGGAAGCTATCACATTACATCACTCATTTTTGAATAACCCTGCTTTCACTGCTGCAGGATAAACTGCTTCATCAAACTGATTTCGAGTGGACGGCACAAATGCATTTGCTTAAACTAACTGTTAAGTTACATCAACAAGCTTCTAGCACCTTAAAGATTCTAACCTTAAAGCTAACTATGAAACAACCAAAGAAATCAGCACCGGCTGGCTGCAAACTGGAGGAACTAAGACTATGAAATTTAGGGGGAAGAAGAGACAGTGGAAATCAGTCGAATTATCAGCAATGCATGATGGGAATGCACCTGGCAGCAGTGCGTAGAACCTTTGGGTCTCTGCGTTGTCACACTTGAGCAATCCTCAGCCAATCAAACCCTGAGCGTGTGTGTGTGTGTGTGTGTGTGTGTGTGTTTGTGTGTGTGTGTATTTGTTATCTGTTTGTGCGAGTGTGCGTTTGCTCTTTGATGAATGAACTGATCGATACGAGCAGAGAGCCTGCTGACACAGAGAGGAAACGCTGGGGATTAAAAGGATGTTTTTCAGGGTTTTCTGGCGAGTCAGCGAACGCAGCGCCACGCTTCGCGATGCCTTCAAATGTTCCATTCAACCAGAAATGCCTTTTAATTGTCATGTTTGTTTTGTCGGTTGCTTTGATTTCTCATCTGGAGCCGATCATTGTCAAACATCTGAACGTTGTTTTGCAGCAATTTGAATACAAAAACTTTATTAATGTCGTTTTTGATCGAAGATAATCAGCAGGAATTGTTAATTTGTTGTCAGTGTAAAACCACCATGACGATGCTCGCAGCACTTTTACACTTCTGTTGAATGCTGAATGTATTTTTTACTTGTGACATTTCTTTGACTCTGAGAATAAAGCGCTCCTTGCAGGAGTATTTTTTTTCCTCCTATTTCTACCATCTGCTTCTATTTTTACTCACAGTTTTGTTTTTTTGGCCTTTTCACATCCTGACAATTTTTCTTTTCATAATGCATTAACTCTGAGGATACCTTAGGAGACCTTGCCTACCGCCCCAACAACACCTTTTAATTCACAGTGTGCTCACACATAAACACAAAAGGGGGCTGAGGGGTTTTTAATTGGCCTCTGCCCAAATTAGACAGATTCATCCCTGTCTCACATTAGCTGAGATGACCGGCCTGAAAAATCACGTAGCTCAGGCGTTTCTCTGAGGCTTTCTCTCACCATGCGCTCGACTCAAAAATTGGGCTGAAGCAGCAACTTTGACTGTTAATTAGCCTCGTTAAGGAAATCTCTGAGGCCAAATCTTGAAATAAACATTCTTTGTTAGAGAGCGGGTTGTTTTCCAGCGCAGAGAGAGAAGACCTCCGGATGCAAACAAGGAGGTTTGTTTGGAAAAGAATCATCAGGAAAGTTATCAGACGTGTCAAAATGTACACGACCACGGGCAGGGAAGTACCCGTCCCTGCTGTCGCTTCATGTTCTGGAAATATGATTGGATGACACAGGCGTGAGGGCGGGGTTTAGTGCATGTATGGAGCTTCAGATTCCTCCATCTCATCTGGAGCTCCTGCCACATCAACAAAATAAGGCACTGCAAACATCTCTTCACCATCATGGCCGTTCTTCCTGTGTTTCGTTGCGTCTGACTCAGAGACAAGTGTTTGAAATGATTCATTTAAAAATCATGTTTATTTGGAAAGTTCTCGTTGGTTTGGTTAGATAAAAACTTTCTACGTGTTAATGCGGAATGCAAATATCAAATGCCAACTCCAAGTTTCGTAAAAATCTGACCTGCAGATTCTGATTTTGACTGATTGATTTTCTTTCTAAGATCTATAACTGACTGCTAGACAATCATTTTGAAACTTTTCTATAATACACAATTCAATTGTATTTTCATAATAAAACTGACTATTAATTATTAAATATGAAAGTCTCTCTCTCTCTGAACGAGGGTAATCAAAGATCATTAGCGTCCGCTAAAGTAAAACTCACTTCTCAGACTGTTCATCAACGACGGATTATTATTATTGACGGCCATTTATATCAATATGATTTCAGACAGAACGTAAAGCTCAACTTTTACGACCTTTGACACGTGAATTTGACAGCGATGACGATCCCGTCCGAACCATCCAAATCGTCTTCAACTTGATTTTACCCCAAATAAAACTAGTCGCCACCATCATCAGAAGCCACGTGCGACCTGTACAGTAAGTAGTCACCAAACACCCTGGGCCAAGTATTTCGCAAAGACTGCTGGGACATATTTTATGGTTTATGCGAGGTCATGACAGAATTTATAGTTTGTCGGTGAATCTTCCGTCAGAAAGCAGATTCTTGTCTGACAATGACATCACTGTGAGCGTACAGTACATACCGAATTTCTGACACAGATTTTTTCATACAGGCCACCGTACCTCAAGGCGGTCGGCGTGCAGCACGATGAACCGGGTGGCATTGACACATTCCAGCTCAATGCTGACCTCTCCGGAGAAGGTGAAGTTGTCCATGTAGACGGCGAGCCGCAGGTCGTAGTGCCGCGGTCTCAATGAGCCCGGCAGCCGTGAGTTCCTCCACGGCTGGACCGCCTCATCATCCCCCCTCTCCCCTGTCCTCTCCCCTTTGCTCCCGTTCAACTTCGCCGACCCCCCGGAACCCCGGGAGCCCGACTCCCCTGTCGCTCCCTCACGATCAGGTGCACCGCACTCCTCGAAACGAACGCTGAGCACCACAGCCACCGCCGTGACGATGATGAGGGTGAGGATGGACAGGGCGAAGCCCAACACCAGCCGCTTGTGCACCGTGATGTGGCGCTCGGTGGTTCGAGGCCGGACCACCACAGACTCAGCCCACTGGTCCGAGAGGCCGCGGCCATTTCGCATGGCGCCCGGGCTGCTGTCGTTTAGTCCCATTTAGCTGAAACTGTCACTTTAACAACAAAGAAACGTCCAAAAGGTTCAAAGTCAGAAACAGGTTCTGATTCAAATAAACACTCATTTATCCTCAGGTCAAATTCCAGCGTGTTGACAGAGGATTTCTTTTGAAAAAATTTGTTTCGATCGTCCAAAGGCTCCCAGTTCTCAGTCTTTCAAATCTCCAGTATGCGCTGCTGAAACTCCAGCGGTTGTGTTTCTGAAAAAGCTGAACTCTGACCTCACCGCTGCTGGGCCGTTCTGAGCGTCCTTCAGCTCTGACACGAGGTGGAAAATCAACACCACGGCACGTCTTACATTTCAGGCAACAAAACTGACAAACCAGAAAGGATGAGACGGTCGTGTGCGTTCTGGTTTTGCGGTGAGGAGAAAAAAAGAAAAATCAATGCAGCATGGCTTGATTTCAAGTGTAGAGGAGGCTGAAGAGGTGGAGGAGGAGGAGGAGGAGGTATGCTGTTGAGTATGTGGCTATACAGTGAGCGTACCATCCATAGACTTTCACAGGAAACCAGCTGGGTAAGCCAAACTCTACAGCAACATAGAAAGAAGCTGAAGTCAGACTGTCGTTGGGTTTCCTCACAGATTAAACATTAAAATCCTTATTTCAAGCTTCAGGATTGATCAATCGATCTACATGCAACCGAAGCTTAAACTAACACTGGGGATTTTAAAGCAGCAGGTTTGTGTCCCCGGGTTGTTGTAAAGTTAATTTCTTCAGAGTTAAAAGCTCTTCCAGACCTGCAGTAAAGCGTAAATAAACCCCTTTCAGACTATTATGGGATTATTATTATGATACAGTGGGAAATAAAAACACCTTGGGAACATTACGGGCAGTATTCGGAGGCACGACCCTATGAATGTTATGATTACATTTCAGTTTTGGAGTCAGAGGACTTATTGTTTCACACAGATCAGCGCATGTGCAAACACGATTTGACCACGACAACAAAGTTTTGTCTCAGTTTGCTGGAGTTAAGTTAAAGGTTTAGGTTTTATTTTGAAAAAATCTGCAGGTTCCTCTTTCTGCTAAAAACAGTAGAGTTTTATTTTGGTATAATAAAGATCTTTTGGTTGTGATTCATATGGGGTTTTTTTAAGGGTTTAAACTTGCTGATAAAAAAAAGGAGGGAAGTATCTCAGTTGGACAAATTTCAAATTAAAATCAGATTTTACTGGAAGCTCTCAATTGACACGTCAACTAAACAGGTGAAGTTAAATTAAGGTAATAACTCTCTCTCTCTCTCTGGCCTCAGTCTATGTCTCTCTCCCTGCTTCTCTCTAGGGGGGGTTAAGGGGATAATTTACGGCCAGCATGTGGGTTTATTTCACCGTGGAGGAGATAATTCACTCCGGTGAATGTCCGGGTCTAAACGATCCCTGCTTTTACAGCTCACGAGGCTGATGGATGAAAAAATGGATTTAAAATGATTGATCATAAATCGCCTCGGCGGATAACAGAGGACAGAGCAGAAAGCGGGAGAAAGAGAGGCGGTAAAATCCCAACAATCAATCCTTCGCTTTAATTAGATTAGTCTGGTGTTAATGATGAGGGGTTATCCGATCATTAACGGTCCGTGAGAGCGTCTAATTTAGCCGGTAAAGATCCAGATTAACTCCTCCGGTCCTCCGGTAACTTCTCTTCTCTCGCCCCTGGTGGGGATGATGAGGCCCGGGTTGGTTTTCTGGCGGCCGTCGGTCCCCGGGGTCCAGGAGGGGTGGGGGGGGGACCTCCCGGTGGTGATCCGTTATTGCCGAGACTTTCTTCAGTCCCGAGAAGAGCGGCGCTCGTCCCAGTGCACCTCGGTGGTTTTCCCCGGTGAAGTCTACACTGAGCACCTGCTTTATACCTGCGGTTCTTCTTCTTCTTCTTCTTCTTCTTCTTCTTCTTCTCTCTCTCTCTCTCTCTCTCTCTCTCTTTTAAAGCACCGGGGGAGGGGGTGAGGTTACCGTCGGTCAGCAAACCGTCAAGTCCACCCGGGACCGTCTCAGGGATCCGTAACCACTACCGTCAGAAATCCGCGAAGCACCTCAGTTTGAACACAGAAGAGATCCGTGTGAAAAATCACCGGAGTAAAACGTCAGAAGTCAGTTATTGATCCTTTTAACCACCGGGGATCCGTTACCGCCAACACCTGGGGATCATTTCAAACCGTCACAGATAAGTGATCAGTTTAAACACCGGGAATCCGTTAAAAGAAACCCCACCGGGGATCCCTCCTTAACGTCAGAGCTGCGTTCAAACACACCGGAGATCAGTTTCAGGACCGGGGAGCGTTTAGAAAACGATCCTTGAAAGCACCGTCAGTGATCCGGTCAACACACCGTAAATCCCCCAAAAACCACCGCGTCCGTTTCCAAGGAGTCCAAAGTAGAAATTAACCGTGTCAGGCGGATTATCCCGGGTCAAAACCGGGCACGAGCCCCTCCGGTGCTCCGTAATTAACACCGGATCCTCCTTAACTTTTTAGTCCGCGGAGAGCAGCTGCTCCTCCTCCTGTGAGGATGAGGATGAGGGTGAGGGTGGTGGTGGTGATGATGCTCGGTGATGAAGATTGTGATGAAGCACTCTCCCGTCAGCATCCCTCCATCCACCGAGGAGGAGGAGGAGGAGGAGGAGGGTGGTGGTGGTGAGGAAGAGTCTCGTGCCGCCCCGTTCAGCAGTCCGCTCGCGGTGAGCGTTTGTGTGTTAGAGCACGAGCTGCAACCGAGAGGCACGCGCTGACAGAGAGGGAGAGGGAGAGAGAGGGAGAGAGAGGAGAGAGAGTGAGAGGAGAGAGAGAGTGAGAGGGAGAGAGTGAGAGGAGAGAGAGAGTGAGGGGGGGTGAGAGAGGGAGAGAGAGAGTGAGGGGGGGGGAGAGAGGGAGGGAGAGAGGGAGAGGGAGGGAGAGAGAGAGTGAGAGGAGAGAGAGAGAGAGAGGAGGGGGAGAGTGAGGGGGGTGAGGGAGGGAGAGAGGGAGAAGTGAGTGAACGCTATACCCACCAACCTAATTCTACTCTATTCTATTGTACTTGATTCTATTCTACTGTATTTTATTATATTCTACTCTATTCTACTCCATTCTGTTATTCTGGTTTACCGTACTCAATTCTACTCTACTCAATTCTATTCGATTCGATTCTACTGCTTTATTCTATTGTATTTTATTTGATTCTACTCTATTCAACTCTGTTCTATTCTTCTGTCTGTGTACATCATATCGGCTGTAATCCAAACCAATGAAGAGAAAATTAATGATGAGAGACAAGTGAGGCAGCGAGTCTTTATCTCTCTCTCACACACACACACACACACACACACACACACACACAGCTGTAGATTTTCTAATTGTAATTAATGTGTCTGCTGAGATGAGTTTTTTACTTTGGTCTCTTTATTTCCACTGACTTTCATTATTACAGTTTCTATTTTATATATTTATCAGTTTGGTTCTTTGTTGTGTTGCAGAGGAAGTGCTTCAACACTCAGTTTATTAGGAACACCTGGCTCAAGCTAAACCCTCCTTCATGTGTGTCAAAGAGGTTCTGATTGTGATTGTGATGATTCTGGTGGATGGAGCTGAATTATACAGAGAGATTCAACAAATTCAAGGACTTTCCATGCCCATTCCCTTCAAATTCAAGGTCCCAACACAGATCAAGGTTAATTACTGCCACAACACCATGAATTTTTATAATGAGAACCAGCAGCTTTACAGGAGCTGACAGACAATTAAAAAGATACAGAGGCTTCATGAGCACTTTCAAGGACCCCAGTCTATTTTTGCGTATGTTTCTAAATGTTCTCGAAACATTTCAATGCCTGGATTTTTTGGTTCTCTTGCGGAAAAGGGTCACGTGATGGGAACATGACGAATCAGGGAAGGACCCGAACAGGAAGCGAGGCGGCTGTAATGTGGACGCTAAGTGTAAACATATTAGGAATGATGCTTATGAATAACAATACGTTAGTGTAGATGACGCCTTCATTTCCTGTAGGTGTAAAGAGCCTGAAAGCTCGTCTGTCTCTTGACTGTCGAGGACCCACATACTCAATAGGTGGACTCCGGTCTTGAATTTAATCCAGACCCGACTCTTCTCAGAGGATCAGTACAACCTGCTCCACACTGCTTGTACATTACTATCATGCTCCATCACCTGTGATCTTGCAAACTCTAAAGAGCAGCCGTATTTAGCAGCCTGTTGTCAGTGAGAGGAGGAAGGGTTGAGAAGTGAAGCGTCAGGTCTGCAGAGATTGGTTAGAGGTGAAGATGTCCAGGTAAGGACAAGGACACAGAGAGATACTCGCCACTTTTATCTGAGAGATGCACATGATGTTTTTAGTGTCCTCAGAGGCAAGAACCACAAAACTACACCAGCTCTGAACACAGCGAAGAGGCCACAGCTCAGAAAACTCTACAACACTTACATGAGAGTCTGCCGGCATCACACCTGTGTCCAAAATGAAGCATGTGGTCCAACCTCCCTTGACCTGGAGACAGAGAGAGAGGGAGAGAGAGGGAGACCTGTGACACACTGAGGGACAGATTTCAGTGACCAAACACACACACACACACACACACACACACACACACACACACACACGTTGCAATGCAATGGGAGGTGAGTCTATAATCTGTGGATGTTCACCAACATGAGAGCAGGGACTTGGTTTTTGGACTGGTTCTTAATGAAGAAATTATTCAGAGACAGAAAAAATCATGTCAAATAAAATATTAATGACACGAATATGAACATATTTATTTCACATTTCCTCATAACATGGTTTTTACATTTCCTCACTTATTAAGGGGGATGTTTTAATATATAATGACCTGGTTATTGCGCAGCTAGTAACAAATCTCCAAAGTTAAAAAACTGTTTTCTTATCATCATTAGCTCGTAACCAGTGTTAATTATAATTTTAGTCATTGGATTTAATCGGTGCATTTTTAATTTTGATCTCCAGCTGTTGCCTTTTCTGTTGCGTACAGTTACCGCGG